ATTTATAGTTAAATATACATATATATTGATATTGTTATATATTTACAGTTATATATTATGTATATATAGTTGTTATATATTGCCATATATTGTTTAGTTTTAGAAATCCTTATTCAAACTTTTTAGAAATCAGGGTGTTGTAAGCAATTTTTTCTGCTTCCATCCCTTCCAGCTCACAGTATCTCTTGTGTGAAAACCGTAAAAACAGTAACTGTGAAACATGAGGATAATCAATTTTAAAATCCTACTTATGAAAGTTAATTCCACTGGATCTGGTTTGTGGTCTCCCTTTATTTGCAACCATAGACAGAATAAAAGTCCGGCATCCTGAGAGGTAGCTCTGGAAGTTTTCTAACTGTTAATACAAAATTGAAATTATGTAATATATTAAACAATAATTTATATCAATCAGTTGGTTCCATGTAGCCCATGAAATTTTGATGTTTACAGTCAGCCAATTTATCTGAAAATTGATTAAGAGTTCATTGGAGTCTCAAAAGTCATAAAGTAGGCTTTGCCTAGATTGACATGTATTGTCTCTGACGGCAGCTTGGTCTGACCTAAGATGGCCGCTCAGTTGGCACGTCTCTCACCCAATGACGCAGGGTCTATCCTTGTCTATGGCTGTTTCAACAAAAATTGACAGAAGACCAGGAGCTGTTGGACCAATCCCTGACCAATCATTTATCTCATAGCAAATATGCCTATTATTGACAATATAGTTTAAGCAGAAGCTAAATATGCCTGCAGATAAAATAAATCCTTTCCTGGACCGTTTAAAGTAATATTTTAATCGTGTAAACGAGTTTGTTCTGTTTGGAAGTTATATTAATATTTCAGACAAGCCCAGCCTGAGATCGGACTCACATTTAATAGAAAGAGGACGAACCAAAAGATGAGGATGATGGCAGGGAGCCTCCTTCTGAAGCTCATCACCAAAGATAGTTCAAAATGCTCTGAGAAACAAGAAGGACACTGGCTGGAATATCTATTTAGACTGTGCTTGTTTTAGTGCCTATAAAGATTTTCAACTGTTTACCGGAAAAGTTTCAATAATTGCATCCATGCATTTTATTTTCTTCAAAACCTGATACTGCTTTAAATTTGAGCACTATATAGATTCAGTCTAGTTACTGTACCATTTACTTTATAAACCTACCATTTTAATATTGAGACATATGCTATATCCTGGTACACTATGACGCCGGCAATGTTCTGCCACCAGCATAAAAATTATAAAAGCTGATTTAGTTGAGTCGGTTAAAAAAAAATCCATAAATTATCAGAGCATCTTTACAAAAATGTTTAAAGTCACAAACACAAAATAGACATTTAAAAAATACTTTCTCTTTTGCGTAACAGATTATGAGTGTTTAAAACACCTAGTAATCCAAATCTTCATTATCTACCCATTACTGGCCTCTGAGTTAAAATAATCTGGATTAAAACAGCTGATATTTGTGACTGATGAGAATGATTAGCTAATTGGGCAAAGCTAACTCCAACTGATAGCCCTTAAAAACAAATATTCCTGCAGGTCTTATTTTAGTAACACAGAGAGTGGAGTATGCAGCATGTAGCCACAGCCGGGCTTGATTTCAGATCCGTGGTTGGCTGTGGCAGCTGGATGTTTGCAGAGCATTACGTGGCTCCAGCGAGCCAGTGACCTAATTCCACAAATCTGCTGGCCTAAATCATTGGGACTCTTGAAATAAATGAGAGCTGTTCTCAGAGCAGCAGAGTACATATATCTGCAGCACACAGAGGTGTATGGGGAATATGCATATAGTACTTCTTGTTGTGCTTAGTGGTGGAAACATCTCTATTTTGTTTTCAGTTACTTTTATAGCCCAAACACTTAAATTGCAACATTGTAAGCATCAGATAGGTTAGGTCTGAGTCTATTTTAATCTGACAAACTATTTCCTTAACATTAACACTCTTTAATATTTTCTTTGTTTAGGTTGAATCATGGTTGCCGTTTTATCAAATTTAAGATGAATCCAAAGTATCAGGTTTTTTGTTCAATCTCTATATTAACCTTTCTTATGGCTAATGATTATGTCATAGATTAAAAAATGTGTCTGACCTTCTGCCTAATCAATCAGTGCTTTTTGCACTTGCTGCAGATCAGATTACACTAGCCAACTGACCAATTACCCAATTGATTGTTACCCTATAAGCACAGGATCCACATGAGACAGTTTGCCCATGATTTGGATGTGAGAAGAAAGCAAGTACTATGATCAAATGTATTTTCAATGCTCTAAATAAAGTAGACAGACAGATTTGAGGATTGTCTCTATGCCATCGAAGGGATACAAGTTGAGAGGATGGTGAAAAAGAAGAGAAAAGGTCAGACTCAGAAAACAACTATTACAATGACTGTTCAATGGAAGTTTAAAAAAAGGAAAAGATGGCATGCAAGTTCAGAGAGATTTAGATTAGTGAGTTAGTGGACTGAGCACATCTGTCTGACTGACCTTTCTCGCTGACGCTTTCCATGTCCACGTCCTCGCAACTGGTGTACTCAGGAGTGGACCCACCCTCCTCCTCTGAGCTACTGATGGACATCTGCCTCTTGTTAATTCCTCGCTTGCCTTGGTATGACCGGGGAGGGGGTGGCCGCAAAGAGTCAGACTGGTCTAAACTCTGTGAGACTTTCCTTAGCAGGTGTTCCCCACTTTTGTCCCTAGTTGTGCCAGACTCCGGGCGGGAATTGTTTGAGCCCTGATCATTAGGCAATTGTCCTCCGGTCTGGGACCCTGATTTCCCTCCTCCTCCTCCTGTAGGCGGAGGTCCGCCTCCCATCCCCACGGTCCTGTCACCAGGAAAGGTTCTGTGGTTCTCAAGGAGGCCTTTGCGGTCTCCTTCGCCACCACCACTCCTTCTGGCAACACGGTTTGAAGGTGCATGGCCCCCTACACCTCCTCCTTCACCTGGTCCTAAGCCAACCTCATTGATTGCAAGATCACTGTGTCGGCGCTCGTGCCGTACCTTCGACACCTTGGCATGCATTCGCATCTCCTGTTCTTCTTTTTGGGGTTTCACTGGATATCTCGCCAGGTTGGGGTCGCTCCGATAACGATTCTGAAACTCCTCCTCGCGGCGTTGTCTCTCCCTTTGTTCTTCGTCCTCCGGACGTCTGCGGTTCACCCCTGAATGTCTCAGGTCCTCCCCGCCATCCTCGTAGTCTTGAGAATGGATCTTTTCAAGCCGACGTCCCTCTCCAAACCGTCTTTCTCCTTTGTCATCAGTGCTCACACGCTCTTCAAGGGATGACTGAGACTGCAGCTTGCCAGGTCTGCGACCACTGCCCCGTCCTATCACCCCCCTTCCATTTTGTTCATGGAGAGATACTGGTCGTTTTCTGAGTAAAAAGAAAAATACTCCTTAGGTAATTTAATCTCAGTAAATATTTTATAAAAATAATTATTCGAATCATATTAGACTTGATCTTGGTAATATCAAAATAAATTTTCCAGGGAAAGAACAACATTAACCAGCTAAAACATACAAAGGTGCTAGAAATGTTTTATAGAATCTGTCATGCGGATAATAACATTTATAATGATCAAATGGCTTTACAATGCCTTCAATGAAAATAATTGACATTTTACATAGAGGGAATGTATAAATACATAGGGCAGAGTTGACAGCTTTGTAAAAGGCGTGAGCTTTTAGAAGCTCTTAAAGAGTTCAATGATATGGAATTCCATCCAAAGCTATAGAGATTTTCTGTAGGACATCCATGAATTGAGATCATAGCATCCTATGCGAAGGGGAGGTCTGACGGGAATTGAGGGTGTAGAGTAGATGGGGGAGGTGAAGAAGGATTTTGTGATTGTTAGTACACTAGCATCTAAGTTTGGTTTGTTTCAGTGCTTTGAAAGAATTTTCCTAAAGAATCCTAAAAGAGGAATAATTCAATGCCACTGTATAACACATGCTACTGAACATTGTTTCCCTGTGCTCTTTTTGTTAATCTAAAATATTTCCTTGGCTCGACGCTAAGGATAGAAATAAAGGCATACTGTGGTACATTTGTAAATTTGTATATCTTACTTTTCTTTTGGTGGTTCGCTTTGGGAGCGAGAGCCTGGCATGGTGTCCCCAGCCTTGGCAGTGGGGAGTCCAGCAGGTGACGGTGTCCCGTCCAGCGGCCCTGTGTTTTTGCTAGAGGGTGAAGCTTGGGATCTGGAGCGGAGGAGCTTCCTGTCACGCTGAACCTCACCTGCTTTGGCTGGGTTGTTTAGGGAGTTGCCCAGGCTCCCGGGCCTCACTCCTGACCCCGAAAACCATTCTCCTGATTTGGTGAGAATCTCCTGTTGCTTACGGCACAGGTTGCAAACCCACATTACCTGAAAAGGTTGAAAGGAAACAAATGTTTTACAAGCTAATTTTAGCAGAACAACATGAGAAAAATGCCATACATATAAGTGAGGGCTGGGCAACCCAGAACCCGAGGAAGGGTGTCATGCAACTTTTAGATGTCTTCTTGGTTCAAGACACCTACATCAAATGGTTGAATTACTCCCCCAGTATGTAGTTAAGTTCTTCAGTGTCCTGCTAACCATCTATTTAGTTGATTGAGGTGTGTTGGAGTGAAGAGACATCTAAACATTGCAGGACACTTGCCCTCAAGGATAGAAGATCCCCACCCTGATACAAGTAAATTGGTATTTAAATGAAAATAAAGGAAAAAAGGAAAAAAACACCAAACCTAAAAATAAATAGATCCTGAATCAATAATTAGATAGAAGTTCACAATATGATTCTGCAAGTTTAATTCTAAAGAGGCAACGTGATTTGTACTGCTTAGATTTAGATGTTATTAAACGGCTCTCTTGAATATGTCCCTCTCCCTTTAACAGAAAACCCAGAACAGAGGAGGAAAATGGTTCAGTAACTTTAACAGTTTGAGCAAATTTGGTAAAGAAAAATATTTCACTTTACTGTTCTATATAAAACACTGTTTAGGAGAGCTTTAGATGCAAACCTGATATAAGAATAAACTAACACAAAGCACCAAAGAGTGAATTATATTTAAGAGTGACAAAATTATATTTTACTAAAAACTTAACAATAGCTGAAAAGCTGTATATCTGCCCCATGTAAACAGTCAACTTTCTACTGCAAATGTTGTTTTCAGGTATAACTCTATGTATGTCGACTTATTCATCAAACTTATTGTAGATCTATACTAAACTGACACAAGTGCAAAATCTGCAAAGTGCATGAAGTTCTTCAAACATGAGATTCTCTGTTGTCTGTAGATGCTAGTTATTTTGCCCCTTTTCCATTTTAGAAAAAGCATGGCTAAATCCTAAACTAATACAGCCTTGTGAAAGTGCAAATTTGTAGTTACTTTGAATCATTTTACTTTACAATCAAAAATTTTAGCTTTTGTGAGAAAATATTTTAGCTCTGTAGAAAAATACAATTTGAGAGGTATTACATCATAACCAGTCTGGCGTGTGCTTTTAATCCTAATATTGCGGAACAAAAAAGGAAGGTCTTCTATACTGCATCCTCAAGACACATATAGTTTATAGGAAATATCATCCCTCTAAAAAAAACAAACCCTGTAAACATCAAATACTCACATGCAGCCATGGCTACTAAATATCACCTCACTTCGACTGCATAAAAACAGGATTTGTCTCCCTCTGCATTTATAATCCACAGGTTTATTTTGCCGAGAATAAATCCAAAGAGGTGGGGAACACACAAGTCCTACGTGTTCCACAACATAACCGCTGCACAAAACAAAAACATCTCTTTGACATTTAGAAAACTCCAAAAGCTACTCCTTGACAGCCGCTGAGATGCACTTAGCAGTCAGTTTAGCGTTTAGCCTTCAGTGTGCCAAACCACATTCATCATGGCCTGACAGAATCCCAGTTGGCGCATGTCCAGACTAATCTAAAACTAAATCAGCTGCTCGCGCAACCCACAGCTGTCAGGCTGCCTGACAGCCAGCCTCACACTGCCACCTCTTTTCGCCTCTGACTTTCTCCTCTTCAGCTGACGGCCAGCAGATTAGTAGTGGCCTGTAATCCTTTCATTTTCTCACCATTATTCAGCTCATCATCAGCTGAGAATACCCACTCACAATTCACGACTTCCCACTTTGTTTCCCCTCCTTTTTCCAATGTGACTATCTGATCACGTTATGCTTGTTAGATGTGAACCCAAGACTAATCGAATTTAGTTTTCTTTTTTCTAGCGTTAGATTTGATTAAATTAATTTAAACAGTCATTTTTTGCATTTAAATTGCATTTTTATTAAGGAGAAAAAAATTGGTTTCATGTTTATCTTCACAGTTTTAAGCAGGACATGCCTTTGCTTATATTTTATCTACAAAACACAGATTCATTGATACTCGACCGAATTGACTGGTTCCTTTTCTTTGACTGTTCTTTTTTCCATACAGATAGACAGTGTAGACCTCTCTGGTTTGAAAGAAAAAGCCACCAAAAATCCATTAATTTAACATCTGTACACCTGCTAACTAAATGCCGCCGTTGTGCATTCTTTCAGCAGCGAGATGCCTTGATTCAAGGCATCTGTGGGGCTGACAGGTCAATGGGGATGAGGGCAGTTGCTCACTGAGTGTACAGGGACCAAAGTATCCAACACACAATCGCATTGGATTACTTATGAGGCAGCGGCAGGCATCGTTTATAGCTGAATGCTAAATTGTGAATCGTGGGAGGAAAGACGATCGCCAAAGACATAACACTCCATTTCTCTTTGTAAGGCATTAGATAAATTCTGCTAGCAGGAAGTGAAGCCAAGGGGGGCATCGGATGAAAACACAGCAGCACATGTGGTGAGGCCGTAAATCCACATTTCATCCGACATGGAGATGACTTCTAACTGTTCCTTCCTTAAAGGTATAGTGGAGCACGTTCTTTTTCCGGGTGGATCAACAAAATATGCGATCCTCCATTCTGGCGATATGTTTACGTAAGGCCATCCTACTTGCTCGTCACCATTTTCACTTACCGGTGATGTGTCTGACATAGTGGAAAAATTGTAAATCTTCTTTTGGAAAGTAAGCTCGTATGAGCTATGCAAACAGTAACTTTTAAACAGACCACGCATAGGGAGAAATTGGCTTGTGCATGCTCTGGCACGCGTTTAATAGGTGTTCCCTCTCAGGAGCGGGTACAGGGTTTTGCATGTGCATTTTTTTAAAAAGTGGAGAGGATGGGTCTTTTCAAGAATTCGCGAAAATCCTTCACTACAACTTTGCTGCAGAAATACTGATGACACTGTTATATACAATGAAACACTTGTTTAGCATCAGCATTCTTTCAGTCTTTCTGAATGTCACAAATTTCTTGGACTATCTAAGCTAGACTGTTAGAACTCCATGTGTTTCAGACAAGAAACTTAACAAAAACAAAAAAGATTTTCTTCCAATTATATAGGGCTTAATTATTGCCTGGCATTTGTTCAGAAAGCATGGCAGAGATTGTAGAGCAACATATGATCCATCTAGAACCACACTACATACAACTAAAATATATTTTATTGTATTTTGATATGCAATATGCTCAATATCAATATATTTGTTTCTTCAAGCAAAATCAGAGGGCACAAAAAGTTGTGGATTGGAAATTTAAAGTTCTTGAGTGCTTTATTAAATAAAATTTAGAAATATACTGTCATGATCTGGCCTGTTTGCTCTCCCCTAATTAGTAATTCCTCTCACCTGCCCTCTTCCTTCCCAGCCTCAATAATAATTTATTCCTCTCTCCTGTTTCCTCTGGTTTATATTCAGTTCAGCCTGAGCATTCAGTGCCAGATCATTACTTGTCTTTCTGTTAGTCTGTCTGTTTGTTTTTTTTGTCATGGTTCATGTCCTGGATCCTAGCAGCAAGTGGAATGAGGGTTTTAGTGTTTGTCTCGTCTCCTGATCGTCCACTGTTCCTCCCCCGCGGAGTCCTCTGGGTTTTTGGCTCATTATGGGGGGAGGTTCAGTTTTTATCAAAGTAAGCCTGGCTCCTGGGTGGAGACCAGTTTAAAGTCTGCTTCAAGTTCCGGTTCCTACGTCCTGTCTCGGCTACCCTCTTCCACTGTGCCTGCCCATCTGCACCTGATCCTGTCTGCTCCTGTGCGTGACCACCTGGTCATGCTTCTGGTCCCAGTCTGACTCTGAACCCTCCTGGAAGCCTGTGCATGCCTGGAAGTCTGGATCCTGCCACCTGTCTCTGTTCCTGTCTGATCTGGATCCTGCCTGTTCCTGTCTGTTCCTGTCTGTTCTGGATCCCTCACCAGGATCAGCTTCCAGCATAACCTCTGGGACTGCAGCACTGGGGACACTCGTGGTCTGGACTGTTAAACCAGGTAAGTGACCAACCCAGATAATCATATATCAGTTTATCGTGGTCACTTACCTGTGTTTCCTCCCCTAGAGTGTGAGAGATTGGGCAGTGCCACGCCCCCCCCCCCCTGCAGTGTCCGTGAGCCACAGCTACGCTTTTGTTTAGTTTTTATTTTAATAAACCTTTTGAACTTTCCTACTGACTGTCTCTCCTGAATACTGGGTCCATCTGTCCTCGTTTCATGACGTATACACTAAAAACGCGTTCATTTATTTTATGAGGGAGTGATAGAGGTGTTGAACCACTGATTTGGTTAAATGTAAAAAAAAGAAATTTGCGTTTTTAACTTAATTAAAGTTAATAAACCAAAAGTTTACTCTGAATATTCAGTGTGAGTTCAGTAACAATGCACTATCAATCCATGCACTTGTACGTCAAAAAGATGGCCCTGTTATTTCAATCTAAAGAATATCTAAGTTGAATGATTCAAAGACATTGTTAAACTACCTGAGACATTTTTACTTAATGTGAAACATATGTCAACTTCTGTATTCACATTTGAGCCTTTTGTTCCTCATATGCATACTGTTTTTAAATACTGTGACAGTAGATACAGTGTATAAGAGAAAAAAGAAATCGAAATAGGAAAATGCATCAGAAGGGTGTTAAATAAAGACATACAGTGGAAAGGGATTGCAGGAATTTTATAGAGGCATCTGAGGTAGAAGAGAACATAGGAGTAGAGTTTAAGCAGAGAGGATAAGTCATCAAGTATTGACTAGCTTGACTAAAATTATGCAGAACATAGCAAAAGCTACATTTTGTTGTGCTTTACTTAAAGTCCTCTAGTGTTTTGGGGACATTATATATGTTTTATATTTAAAAGATGATTGCATCCTTACTCTCACAACCCACCCTAAAGTTATTTAAACATAGCAAAAAAAACTTTAACATTGTTATCAAGCAAACAATCCTTCCCAAAGACATATATTAATTCTTAACAATGCCTAAGCAAGGAATCTGA